AGTGACGAACTAGCAACCCAAAAAAGGAGAGTGCACCAGCCAGACGGGCCAAAAACCCGACAGCAAAATGAGGGCCCCCCTACCGGGAGGTATTGGGCAAAAATATCTCTCGTGGCCGGGAAGGGGGGGGGGGGGGCAATCTAAAACACCTAAAACAATCTTTAACATGACAAGGACGCGCCAGAAAGGGGTGGCAACAAAGTTGTCACTTTTTTTAAAGAAAAGGGGAGAGACGACAGAATTTAAAAATACAGCCCCGAAAGGGGGGAGCACTAAAAAGGGTGAAGCCCTAGAAGAGTGGTGAAGCACCTAAAAGTGGGGGAAGCACCTAAAAGTGGGGAAGCACCTAGATGGGGGTGGAGCACTTGGAAAGTGGTGGAGCACCTAGAAGAGTGGTGAACACCTAGAAAGGGGTGAACACCCAAGAGTGGTGGACACCTAGAAGAGGGGAAGCACCTAGAAGAGTGGTGGGCACCTATTATAGTGGTGAGCACCTAGTAAGATGGTGGAACACCTAGATGAGTGGTGGAGCACCTAGAAAGAATGGTGGAGCACCTATATGAGTGGTGGCACCTAGAAAGTGGTGAGCACCTATATGATGGGTGAGCACCTAGAAGAAGTGGTGAAGCACTAAAGAGTGGTGAAGCACATAGAAGAGTGGTGGAGCCAACCTATAAGTGGTGGAGGCACCTAGAAGTGTGGAAAGCACCTAAAGAGTGCGAAGCACCTAGAAAGAGTGGTGAGCACCTATATATGAGTGGTGGAGCACATGGAAGAGTGGTGAATCACCTAGAAGAGTGGTTAAGCACCTAGAAGAGTGGTGAAGCACCTAGAAGAGTGGTGAAGCACCTAGAAGAGTGGTGAAGCACCTAGATGAGTGGTGGAGCACCTATATGAGTGGTTGAGCACATGGAAGAGTGGTGAATCACCTAGAAGAGTGGTGAAGCACCTAGAAGAGTGGTGAAGCACCTAGAAGAGTGGTGGACAGCCTAAATGAGTGGTGGAGCACCTAAAGAGTGGGGAAGCACCTAGAAAGATGTGAAGCACCTAGAAGGAGTGGGGGGCACCTATAATGAGTGTTGGAGCACATGGAAGAGTGGTGAATCACCTAGATAGTGGTGAACACCTAGAATAGTGGTGAAGCACGAGAAAGTGGTGAAGCAACCTAAAAGGTGGGGTGAAGCACCTAGAAGAGTGGTGGAGCACCTATATGATGGTGGCGGCACATGAAGAGTGGTGAATCCGGCTAGAGATGGTGAAGCAACTAGAAAGGTGAAGCACCTAGAAGAGTGTGAAGCACCTAGAAGAGTGGGTGAAGCACCTAGAAGAGTGGTGAAGCACCTAGAAGAGTGGTGAACACCTAGAAGAGTGGGTGGAGCACTAAAGAGTGGGGAAGCTACCTAGAAGAGTGGTTGGAGCCACTAGAAAATTGGTGAAGCACCAGAAGAGTTGTGAAGCACCTAGAAATGTGGAGGCACCTAGAAGAGGGTGGAGCACCTAGATGTGGTGGAGCCCTAGAAGAGTGGTGGAGCCCCTAGAAGAGTGGTGGAGCACCTAGAAGAGTGGTGGAGCACCTAGAAGAGTGGTGGAGCACCTAGAAGAGTGGTGGAGCACCTAGAAGAGTGGTGAAGCACCTAGAAGAGTGGTGAAGCACCTCGAAGAGTGGTGGAACCTAGAGAGAGGTGGAGCCCTTAGAAAGTGTGGAGCCCCTAGAAGAGTGGTGTGAGCACCTAGATGATGGTGGAGCCCTAGAAGAGTGGTGGAGCCCCTAGAAGAGTGTGGAGCAACCAAGAAGAGTGGTGGAGCAAACCTAGAAGAGTAGTGAGCCCCGACGAGGGTGGAGCACCTAGAAGAGTGGTGAGGAGCCCCTAGAAAGAGTGGTGGAGCACCAACGAGTGGTGGAGCACCTAGAAGAGTAGTGGAGCCTAGAAGATGGTGAGCACCTAGAAGAGTGGTGGAGCACCTAGAAGATGTGGAGCAACCTAGAAGAGTGGTGGAGCACCTAGAAGAGTGGTGGAGCACCCAGGAAGAGTGGTGGAGCACCTAAGAAGCGTAGTGGAGCCCCTAAAAGTGGTGGACGCACCTAGAAGAGTGGTTAGCACCTAGAAGAGTGGTGAAGCCACTAGAAAGGGGTGAAGCACCTAGAAGATGTGGAAACACCTAGGAGAGTGGTGGAGCACTTAGAAGAGTGGTGGAGCCCCTAGAAGAGTGTGGAGCACTTAACTGAGTGGTGGGAGCACTCTAAAGAGGGGTGGAGGCCCTAGAAGAGTGTGGAGCACCTAGAAGAGTGGTGGAGCCACCGAGAAGATATGGAGCCCCTAAAGAGTGGTGACAACCTAAAGAGTGGTGGACCCGAGAAGAGTGGTGGAGCACCTAAATGGTGGCGCACCTAAAAGTAGAGGAGCCCCTAGAAGAGTGGGAGCACCTAGAAGAGGGTGAGCACCGAGAAGAGGAGTGGAGCCCTAAAGAGTGGGGAGCACCTAGTAGAGTGGTGGAGCACCTAGAAGAGTGGTGGATCACCCGAGAAGAGTGGTGAGCACCTAGATGAGGGGGTGAAGCACCTAGAAGAGTGGTGGAGCACCTAGAAGAGAGGTGGAGCACCTAGAAGAGGTACCGCCACCTAGAAGAGTGGTGAAGCACCTAGCAGAGTGGTGCAGCAACCTAGAAGAGTGGGAAGCCCCTAGAAGAGGTGAAGCACCTAGAAGAGTTGGAGCACCTAGAAAGTAGTAAAGCACCTAGAAGAGTGGTGAAGCACCTAGAAGAGTGGTGAAGCACCTAGAAGATGGGTGGAAGCAACCTAGAAGAGTGTGGAGCACCTAGAAGAGTGGTGAAGCACTAGAAGAGTGGTGAAGCACCTAGAAGAGTGGTGAAGCACCTAGATGAGGTGTGGAGCACCTAGATGAGTGTGAGCACCTAGAGAGTGGTGAAGCACCTAGAAGAGTGTGGAGCACCTAGAAGAGTGGTGGAGCACCTAGAAGAGAGGTGGGTGCACCTAGAAGAGGCCTTGGAGCACCCTAGAGAGTAGTGGGAGCCCTTAAAAGAGTGGTGGAAGCACCTAGAAGAGTGTGGAGCACCGAGAAAGTGTGGAGCACCTAGAAGAGGGTAAGCACCTAAAGAGTCTTGAGCACCTAGGTGAGTGTGGAGCACCCTAGAAGAGTGTGAAGCACCCAGTGAGTGTGGAGCACCTAAAGAGTGGTGAACACCTAAAAGAGTGAAGCACCGAGAAGAGTGGTGAAGCACCTAAAGATGGTGAAGCACCCTAGAAGAAGTGGTGAAAGCACCTAGAAAGATGGTAAGCACCTAAAGAGTGGTGAAGCCCCTAGAAGAGTGGTGCAGCACCTAGAAGAGTGTGGAGGCACCTAAAAGAGTGGTGAAGCACCAGAAGAGTGGTGAGCGCCTAGATGGGTGGGGAGCACCGAGAAGATGGTGAACACCTAGATTGAGTGTTTGAAGCACCTAATGAGTGGGTGAAGCTCCTAGAAGAGTGGTGGAGCAACCTAGGTGAGTGGTGGAGCACCTAGACGAGTGGTGGAGCACCTAGAAGAGAGGTGAAGCACCTAGAAAGTGGTGAAGCACCTAGAAAGTGGTGAAGCACCTAAAGAGTGGTGGAAGCCATCCTAGAAGATGGTGAAGCACCTAGAAGATGGTGAAGCACCTAGAGAGTGGTGGAGCACCTAGAAGAAGTGTAAGCACCTAAAAGAGTGTGAACACCTAATGAGTGTGGAGCACCTAGAAAGTGGGGAAGCACCTAGATGAGTGTTTGAAGCACCTAGATAAGTGGTGAAGCACCTAGCAGAGTGCGAGCACATAGGTGAGGGTGAAGCACCTAGAAGGGGGGGGGGGAGTGGGAAGCACCTAGAAGACGTGAGCACCTAGTATGGTGAAGCACACTAAAGAGTGGTGAAGCACCTAGGTGAGAGTAAGTTAATAAGAACAACGAACTAGAGATAGTGCACTCTGTGAACAAATCTAACTAAAACGACTTATAAAATACGGAGAGAATTTGGAGAGCAACTTTGGACAGAGACAGATGTTTGCGAAGAGTACACAGCAACAGGTGTCACCGGTGGAAGTTGAAAGACTCGGATGAGTCACAGGGAGTTAGAAGTATTTCTTCGGGCTCAGAGTAGTAGAAGTGAATATTTAGGTGTGTAGTGAAGCAGGATCGTACGTACGTTAAGAAGAGGTAGGACAATGCCAGGGAGCAGGGAGAGAGTGAACCTAATAGGGCCAGTGAAGAGTCTGGACCAGATGGATTCATCCCTGCGAAAGCTTATAAGTCAGTACACTCATTTTTTCTCACCTCCCTCACTCCTCCATCGTTCCCCGCCTTCCCTCCCTCCCTCCAGCCTCCGGCCCGCCCTCCCTCCTTCCCTCCTCCCTCCCGCCCACACGTCAGAAGAAACCATCTCGTGGTCAGACCATGCGTGTGTTATTGAATTTGTCTCCTGCGCCCCTCCTCCTCCTCCCCTCCACCGCCTCCTCCGCCTCCGCTTCACTGTCCCTCAGGAAGCCTACTCGGTGAGGTCGCAAATTGAGCGCAGGAGATGATGCCAAAGATGCAGCCTCCACAGTCAAGGTATTACTGTGTGTGTGTGTGTGTGTGTACTCACCTAGTTGTACGCACCTATCGAGGTGCGGGTCGAGTCCGAGCTCCGGGCCCCGCCTCTTCACTGATCGCTACTAGGTCACTCTCCCTGAGCCGTGAGCTTTATCATACCTCTGCTTAAAGCTATGTATGGATCCTGCCTCCACTACATCGCTTCCCAAACTATTCCACTTACTGACTACTCTGTGTGTGTGTGTGTGTGTGACGATACAATAATCTGAGGAAAGAGAGAGAGAGAGAGAGAGAGAGAGAGAGAGAGAGAGAGAGAGAGAGAGAGAGAGAGAGAGAGAGAGAGAGAGAGAGAGGAGAGAGAGAGCATCTCGCAGCATCTCTGGTGTTAGTCTAGAGTGAACTTCAGATAATCCACCCAGATGGGGGGTTGAACTCGCAGACTTCAACCTTCAACTGAGATTGTATTTGCTGAAGAGGACCTCAGAGGCTTAAATACACAGAAGAATTATAACCAAGTAAGATATCTTGACGGGAATCTCTGTATTTAACTTACACACGACGGTAACACTCTTAATTTCCATCTCTCTCTCCCCTCGCTCACAATCTGTCTCTCTCTCTCTCTCTGTGTCTCACTACGACAGGACTCGTGTTGCTGGTCGTGTGTGCCGTGCCCTGAAGACTCCATCATCCACAACGACACCTGTCGTCCCTGTGCCCTGGGCTGGGCACCCACCACTGACAAGGTCACTTGTTACAAGCTGACACCAGAACACATCACCTGGGACTCTGCCTGGGCTATCGTGCCTCTTGTCTTCAGGTGAGTCACTCAGAGTCAGTCAGTGTGTTAGTGCGTCAGTCAGTGTGTTAGATTGTATGTCAGTCGGTGTGTCAGTCAGTAAGTTAGTTTGTCAGTCATTGTGTCACTCAGTGTGTCAGTCATTGTGTCAGTCAGTGTGTCACTCAGTGTGTCAGTCAGTGAGTCAGTCAGTGAGTCAGTCAGTGAGTCAGTCAGTGAGTCAGTCAGTGAGTCAGTCAGTGTGTCGGTTAGTGTGTCAGTCAGTGAGTCAGTCAGTGTGTCACTCAGTGTGTCAGTCAGTGAGTCAGTCAGTGAGTCAGTCAGTGAGTCAGTCAGTGTGTCAGTCAGTGAGTCAGTCAGTGAGTCAGTCAGTGAGTCAGTCAGTGAGTCAGTCAGTGAGTCAGTCAGTGAGTCAGTCAGTGTGTCGGTTAGTGTGTCAGACAGTGTCAGTCAGTGAGTCAGTCAGTAAGTCAGTCAGTGTGTCAGTCAATGTGTCAGTCAGTGAGTCAGTCAGTAAGTCAGTCAGTAAGTCAGTCAGTGTGTCAGTCAGTAAGTCAGTCAGTGTGTGAGTCAGTGTGTGAGTCAGTGTGTGAGTCAGTGTGTGAGTCAGTGTGTGAGTCAGTGTGTGAGTCAGTGTGTGAGTCAGTGTGTGAGTCAGTGTGTGAGTCAGTGTGTGAGTCAGTGTGAGAGTCAGTGTGTGAGTCAGTGTGTGAGTCAGTGTGTGAGTCAGTGTGTGAGTCAGTGTGTGAGTCAGTATGTGAGTCAGTGTGTGAGTCAGTGGTGAGTCAGTGTGTGAGTCAGTGTGTGAGTCAGTGTGTGAGTCAGTGTGAGAGTCAGTGTTGTGAGTCAGTGTGTGAGTCAGTGTGTGAGTCAGTGTGTGAGTCAGTGTGTGAGTCAGTATGTGAGTCAGTGTGTGAGTCAGTGTGTGAGTCAGTGTGTGAGTCAGTGTGTGAGTCAGTGTGTGAGTCAGTGTGTGAGTCAGTGTGTGAGTCAGTGTGTGAGTCAGTGTGTGAGTCAGTGTGAGAGTCAGTGTGTGAGTCAGTGTGTGAGTCAGTGTGTGGAGTCAGTGTGTGAGTCAGTGTGTGAGTCAGTGTGTGAGTCAGTGTGTGAGTCAGTATGGTGAGTCAGTGTGTGAGTCAGTGTGTGAGTCAGTGTGTGAGTCAGTATGTGAGTCAGTGTGTGAGTCAGTGTGTGAGTCAGTGTGTGAGTCAGTATGTGAGTCAGTGTGTGAGTCAGTATGTGAGTCAGTGTGTGAGTCAGTGTGTGAGTCAGTATGTGAGTCAGTGTGTGAGTCAGTATGTGAGTCAGTGTTGTGAGTCAGTGTGTGAGTCAGTGTGTGAGTCAGTATGTGAGTCAGTGTGTGAGTCAGTATGTGAGTCAGTGTGTGAGTCAGTGTGTGAGTCAGTGTGTGAGTCAGTGTGTGAGTCAGTGTGTGAGTCAGTGTGTGAGTCAGTATGTGAGTCAGTGTGTGAGTCAGTGTTGTTGTTGTTGTTATTTATTATTATTATTATTATTATTATTATTATTATTATTATTATTATTATTATTATTATTATTAATAAAAGTCGTCGAGTCAGTTTGATACGATTAAGGAAGACTGACTTCAGTGTAGAGTACAGTGTACACTACACTGACTGTTGTACAGTGACTGTGGTGTACAGTGTACACTACACTGACTGTTGTACAGTGACTGTGGTGTACACTGTACACTACACTGACTGTTGTACAGTGACTGTGGTGTACAGTGTACACTACACTGACTGTTGTACAGTGACTGTGGTGTACAGTGTACACTACAACTGACTGTTGTACAGTGACTGTGGTGTACAGTGTACACTACACTGACTGTTGTACAGTGACTGTGGTGTACACTGTACACTACACTGACTGTTGTACAGTGACTGTGATGTACAGTGTACACTACACTGACTGTTGTACAGTGACTGTGGTGTACACTGTACACTACACTGACTGTTGTACAGTGACTGTGGTGTACAGTGTACCTACACTGACTGTTGTACAGTGACTGTGGTGTACAGTGTACACTACACTGACTGTTGTACAGTGACTGTGGTGTACACTGTACACTACACTGACTGTTGTACAGTGACTGTGATGTACAGTGTACACTAACACTGCTGTT